TGACTAGATTCTATTCTTAAGAATGAGAAAGGCTGCTATATGCAGCTTGGTGTCTCCAAGATGGAACAGGGATCGATGGGAGACCACAGTTTATCTACTTGCTCCCTGAAGATGGTAATGCAGATTGTTCCTAACTTCCTTTTAACAAACAATGAGACTCTCTTGGAATTGCACCATAAGGAAATGATTTCTTAAGCAATGGAACACAAGGGCATTGTTAGATTACTTAGCTTAACATTCTTTCAAATTTGTAATTTTATCAGGGTTCTCAAATTATCCAGAACTCATCAGCTATTGCTGTTATTTGGCAAAAGGATAATTTAATATTTTAGCATACCATTCTCTGATTTATTGAAATATACATTTGTAGCCTCTTGTTCACTTGTCTCTTGAGGCTCTGTTACACTCTTGCACATGTGTGGCAGTTCCTAGTGTATGCTAAGTGTGTTTTGTTTTTTGTATCACTAAAAAATTCTCTCATCTAACAACTATTATAGTGTCCTTTGTTAAGTAGAAATTTTGAACTTAAATCAAACCAAAACTCTTCAAGATTTCTTTTTTTCTATATAGGAGGGCAAATAAATGGAATGCGGTAACCAGCAGGAGAAAGGGAGTAGAGAGGGGTTGAGGTTTCCTTTGAGTCCCATTACATGTTATTAGGAGGACTGAGATGGGTTCATTGAATAAAGTAGGGGAGGAGGGGCAGGATTTTTTTTTTTTAACAATGCCCTTGAGCAGGTGGAGACAGAATCAGGAGGGCACAAGACAGAGCTGACATTAGCCATGAAAAGCTGTTGCTTCAATGGGGTGGAAGAAACGGTTTGGATTTATTTTAAAAATTCTATTCTACTTACTGGGATAAAGTTGTTCATTTTGCACCATCTTCCGTTATGGATCTGTGGCCACAGCACAGATTGGACACTCTAGAAGCTACTTTGCATGTGCAGTTGAGTAAGAGTCTGGTTATATTTTTATCTAACCATGAATCTGTTCTCTCAATCCCATCTCTCAAGGATTTCTTCTTTGCTTCATCATGCCTGTATCAGGCAAGATCCTCCAGAGGGGCTGAATTAACAGAATGCATCCATGTTACAAAAGAAGAAAACATAACTAGATTGGGTTACATGATAAAGGGTGGACAGTGGTTGTCTGCCTGCCCAGGGAGGCCACGGACGCTATCACTGGCCAGTCTATGAGGCTAGATGCTTCAGTTTGCCTAATCTGACATTAGAGGAGGAGTGCAGCTGCAGTAACAAGGGACAGATGCCCTCACCTGGGAGAAGCAAAGGCACCTGCACTCCCCCTATAACCCCCTCCCACTCAAGGTGCTTGTCACCTGGGGGTGGATCTTCTCCTTTATGGAATTATGGAATTTCTTTCAAGTGACTTCAGGATTAACCACTTTTATTTATTTGTTTTTAAAAGATATTAAAGGTCTTATTGATCACTCATCTGTCTTAAATTATGTTAAAATCAACCAGAGTATTTGTCTACTCTTTACACAAACAGTGGTCATTCCTTGTGGGCTCATCTTTATCAATTAAATATGCTCAGTATGTTTGGTATATATTAGGAATTCATGCCCTCGTAAATGTGACCCAAGAAATTAGTCTAATATATCAATATACATGGAAAATAGAAAAAGAAAAGAATTATTTGTCAAAGTATACCCAAATGTGTTATATATTTGTCAGTCATTCATTTGCTCATTCATTTCACAAACACTTAAGTGTTCATTATTTTGGGATTGTGCTAATATGGGAGACATAAGGGTGAACTAAAAAACATAGTTATTAAATATGATCTTTTGTGAGAAAGAAATATTAATTAAAAACTCACCCTAACAAATTTATCATAGTAATCGTGACAAGTATTTTCACCTAGTTCAATGAAGAGGGTTTTACCCTGTAAATGAATGTTGACATTTGTAGAAAGGAGCATAGGAGAAATCTTCAAGCAGAAGAAAGAATACATCATAGGGCTTCAGCAAAACAAGCCTCTGAGTACAAAGGTCTGAAAAACACAGGTTTTATATGTGCATGTGTGTTTGCATGCACACATGTGCACCAACCCTTAAGAGTGCAGCAATATTTGTAAGTCAGGTAAGATACAAGGAACAGTCTATACACAATCAGAAGACAATATATAGGCACAGCCAACATGAAAGAAGGAAACCAGGATGGACAGTCTTTGCTTGTCTGGCCTGGGATTTGAACTCAAACACATCCTCTATCACCGGCTCCCTTGTATATATTCCACTTCATTGACACTAATTTTGAAAAGGAAGCTTTAAAAAAGTATATGAAACAGTAGAAAGTAAATACTTTAACAGAAATGCAAAACTGTATTTCTTGCATTACAAAAGAATTCATTTTTTAAAAAGACTAGGGAACATTTTCTAAAACTACACAAACCTTATTATAGCTTAACTTTAGTTTTATTGATGCCAGAGGATGTTTTCCCTTGCTGTGGAGATGGAGCTGAAAGATTTGAAGTGGCAGGTGAGTTAGTGTTATGACTAGTCCTAGACCAGGTAAAGCGCATCCTTCAGATGCATACTAGAAAGGCAGGAAGAGCCACAAGAGTGGGATGGACCTTGATGTAGGTGGCCAGAGATGGGGCAGGATGGTGTGGAGAAGAGGGATACCCATCATAACAGACACAGAAGGAAGCAAGGAGCATATAGAGCATTTACTCCGAGGGCATCACACACTGTACCATGTGATCCCTGTGAGAACTCTGGATAGTTGTGCTGTAATTATCATCAGGTTTGCTGCCTACGTCTGACTCTGAGACCTAAGCAGCACACTACAGTCTTGTTCCTTCTTCCTCCTTAGATTTGTGTCACACTAGCTCCACTGTCATTCTGGATCAGGGACACACCTTGATAGGTCGAGTCCTGCTGAAAGCCACATTCATCCACCAGTTTTTTTCCTGGACTCTGGCAATCGCTGGGGTTAGAGGTGGAGGTCTACAGGTGACTCTGTCCTTATCTAAGTAAGTGGAGTTTTTGTTCATTTGCTTGTTTATCTCAGCGTAGTTAGTTTCTGGCTTCTGAAACTAAAAGGCTGTGAAGCTATTGGGTAGATTTGGGCCCTAGAGTTCAAGGTCTACATTGTTCCTGTCTTTAAGGAGCTTTTGGTTTTGACTCTGTATGAGATCTATGTAACGGACGTTTGTCTCAGCTGTTTCTTAGTAACTCTCTCTGGATCAGTTTAGCAGTTAAGACTTAGATGAAGGAGGTACCACAGGCAGCAGCCAGTGTTCTGGATTACGTATCAATTGTGAGTACAGGTGCCTGAGGAGTTCTCAAAGCAGGGCTGGACAAACGGGAAGCTGATTTTTACTTTTGATGCTGTTAGAGTAAGGGAGAGCTGGCTTCTGTCTCAGGGCTCTGTTCCCAGCCAAATGACAGTCTCCAAAGGAGGCACATTGATCAATCTACACTTCTCATCCTTTCATGAGATGTTTCTAAACTGGTTCAAGGAGAAATTTACAGTCGCCAGCTAGTCTAATCCTTTGAGGCAGAACACTTACTGAGAATATGTAACTTTTACCTAATCCCTTGAGTAAATTTTCTCTAATTAACGTTGCCATTTGAAAGCTTCATTTCTCTGAGATGAGTTTCGTCCCTTTCCTTAGTGAAGAAGAGCATGAGCCATTCCAGAGGTATTGGAGGTTGAAGGTAGGCAGGAGTTTGGCAATGTCCTGTTGTCAAGAGGTGTGATGCTGAAACCAGCTGGCTTCTGTGTTTTTGGAAAGCGTGATAGGAGCTGGACAGTGTGATATCATTGCTAATGAGTTGATAGACATTTACGAAATCATCACTGGGCAAACATGAATGAGGATTAAGAAGTAAGAAAACAAAAACATGACAGTCAGACTCATGACCCAGGCTTATTTTACTAGCAAAGGATGCTAATTTTATGGCTGTGGAGACAATAGAACACCTACATTAATAGAAACCATCAGGGCAGGCACTTACCACTAATTTTGAATTTAACATGTGGTTGCTATTACCACCATTTTGAGTCTGTTCACAGAAAGGAAAACATTTTTGATAATTGAAATGGTACTGAGTGCTGCAGTCAGCTCTTCAAATTTGTTTTCTGCAACTATCTTTAAACCAGGCACCAGGGAAGGGACACATTTGTCTTTCTGGTGAAACTTCTGTGGTGTCTTTGAAAAGAGGTCAGGAGGTGAGTCAGAAAGTTCAGTGTGTGCTTTCTGAAGATGGAGAAGCTCTCAGGCGTAGTCTTCCTGGTTAAGTGTGCTTTAATGCTGTCATGGGCTTTAATGCTGTCAAGTCAGAATCTGATTCTCCTGTTCTTTTTTACTTTTCACCATGAATTCTAATCCTGATAGCATCACAGAGAAAAATAATTGCTACCAGGATGTCCAGGACTCCATCTGAGAGAGAAATCACAAAAGATAACACAGAGGAAATCAGAGATCCCACATTCAACCAATCCAAGGCTACAGTTGATGAGTTTTCTGTAATAACTTTGGCTCGCTCCTTCCTTCCTTCCTTCCTTCCTCCCTCCCTTCCTCCCTGTCTTCCTCTCCACCTTCCTTTCTTTCCTTTTCTCCCTAAATTATAGAACCAGTGTTACTGTCAATCTATTTTCTGAACCTTTAGACCTTTTAGGATGGAACTCCTGTTAGAACCTTATTTACATGTCTGTGGGACTTTGATTTACCCAATAGACTGTCCCTTGAGTCCACATTTTATCAGGCTAGCTTAAGGCAGCTGTAACTCAGCCAGTTGATTCAGGACAGTTGTGGGTTTGGGAGTTACCCCCCTACCTCCACCCCCCACCCCTCACCCACCCCCAGGTAACTCCACCGGCAGTGGGCAGTGCTCTGGGCGGGGCCAAGGCCAGAGCTCCCCTGTGAATCTTAGTACAGTCAGGGCTTCTGCTGGGCAGGGCCAGCTGTTAATCCTGCTAGACCGCCATCGGGGCGTGGTGGGGGTAGGGGGTGGAGGGTGACAAGGGACATATATGTGGCGTCTGCTGGTGAGAAATACCTAGGACAGGTGAAAGGTGAGAGGGAGTTCCCACCGGCTGAGTTCTTAAAGTCATGAAGACTTAAGAAAAATAACAAGGAGTGGCCGATTGGAGTCTTTTGGACTTGCCCTGAGCTCCACCCTCCGCCAAGAGGAAAAGCCCCCGGGGACCGAGGCGGGAGCATCAGACCAGCACGAGAAAAGCGCTTGTGCGCGCTCCACCTCTGCGCAGCGTGTGCGGGGCGGTGACCTGTCCCTTGAGCTGGCCATGGCGGCTGCGGGATCTACGCGCTCCGGGAGCACTGCCCTCGGCCTGGGACACCTGTTGACCCTCGCGGTGAGCTCCGGGGACCATCTCAAGGACTGGGAGAGGGACATGTGGTCGGGGCGGCTGGCCCAGGTGGGATCACCGGACCTCAGGACACCTTAAACTGCAGCAGTTGTTGGCGGTGAGGGAGGGCGGCAGGAAGCCGAGCGACCCGGACATCAAGGTCCCGCAGGGGAGGGAGTGTGGCTGCGAGCTGTAATAGGCGCGAGCGGATAGAGACGGGGGCGGACCGCAGACGCCCAGCCAAAACCCTGGCCTCGGGGTTCTCTGGGCAGAGCGGGGTGCGCCAAGGCTGTGCCCGGGCCTGGAGCACCGTCACCGGAGCTCTGGGTGCAGGCCGCCCCGAGTGAAGTCAGCTGCCTAGCAGAGGTCACCAAAGGCCGGTGTGGTGTCCTTGGGGAAAAAAGAAAACCCAACCAACCAAAACAAACAAACAAACAAACAAACAAAAAAACCCCCCCAAAACCAAAAAAACAAACTTGTTGCTTTTGAGGGTTCCTTGCTTGGGGATGGAATTTTAGAAGTGCGTTGGAATGAAGGAGGGAGTCTGGACTTTCTTCCAAAGTTAGATGGGTGGATACAAGGTGATCACTGATCCCCTCAATCTCTGGGAAATGAACATCCTAGCTAGCCCTGAGATCTTGTCCTAGAAGGAGTTTGGATTTTTCTTCTCAACTCCTGCTCAGACTCTTTCTTGCTTTAAGAAGTACAACAGCCAGGACCTTCAGCCCTCTCAGAAGTGTGAGTCAAAATTTATGGTTTTATTGAGGACAGGACTGGATCTCTCTAGGGAACGAGAAGACTCAAGAGTGACTAGGCCGTTGGGGATTGTGGGAAAAGAATGCTCCAGATTATAGTTTTATCAGGGTCCCTTGTACAAGGAAAAAGTTCACTATGCTAGGTGCAAAATAGCTACCAATTTGATACTGCCCTAATGCCCTTGGCCTGAGGCAGGCAGTCACTCAAGACGGCTTTGAAGACTGGAGAAACCCAGGGAACCAAAGTGTGTGGAAGTGAAGGGTTCCAAGGGTCTTGACATCTTCCATTTCTCCTCAAGTCTCCTTTCACAAGAAATTCCTGCATTTTTAATTGCTGAAAATGTGATTGGTTACTGGAAGTCCCAAGGAATGAATGGTCTAAACTTTCGATCAGAATTCCCAGAGGCTATTCATAAACACAGATTGGGACCAGAGCCTTGCAGTCAGGATTTTATGACGAAGGAACTTAGCCTAGGGCAAATAATCGTCACAAAATATTCTGCTGATGACAAAGAGTGAATTTAGGGTGATACCTAGTGAGGGACATTGCCACTTCCTTTTATATCACAGGGCCTTATTCTTTGGAAGAAAAGGCATGCTTAGTCTTCCTGATAGAGTGCTGCCTTCTGCAAGCCCATACTCTGAGATCCTTTAGGAGAAACATATTCTGTAGGTGAATAAGTAGAGCCCTCCTTTCTTGAGTCTAGGAATGGGGATGGATAGGGGGTCTTCTGGCTACTTCCTTTATTTTGCTTTCAAGCAGGAAAGTGTAGTGTGTGTCTCCTCAGTTTGTTTTAAACTCCAGGGACCATGTGAACTCCAGTCTCAGATGGGTGTGAGAAAAGCATAGAGTAAGTAAGCACAGTGTCTACAGAAGAAGTTTTTCCAGGGGTGCGGCTCCCTGTGTCTCCTCTTTCTCATACACTCAGGTAATCCCTTGCCATTCCACCAGTCAGCTTCTCTCCACTTCCTGTACTGCCCCACCCCACAGTGTCTTAAGCACCTGAGCTTTCTTCCTGAAAGCCAAAAGGTCTTTGTTCTCTACAGCCTCCTAAGAGCTCCTTTGACAAGTTCAAGAGATGCATTCTACTCTACACATAATTCTACCCTGTTATTCATTCTTTATTCTGGAAATGAACACCTTAGAAAAAACTTTTGGCCCCCAGAATCTGACTTCTTACCTGGTTTCTTCATTCCCTACTCCCCCCCACCCATTTTCTGAGTATGACTTAAAGATGTAACATGAAATCTTCCCATTGGACGGAGCTTTAAGTGTACAGTAATAGCAAATTAACTATAAGCAGGTACCTTGAAACAGCTATCTTACACAATGGAAACTATTCTTGTTAGGCAGCGGACCCTCCTCGTCCCATGCCCCACGCCCTGGCCACCCTTCTGTTAGCACTCTGTCTGCTTGGCCACTGTTTTCCTTACTTGTAAATGCTAATTTTCTGTGGAGTCTTGCTGTAAGTCTTGTTTCTCAGAATGTATATCCCCCCCAACCCCCTGTTCCCGTCATTTCCTCTACCTTATGCTTTAAAATATCACATCATCCTAAATTAATATTGCTCTTTCGGACACCACCTTTAAACAACAGGCCTGTATCTCTACGTAGTATACTATGGCATACCATTTACTATGTTTCCAAATATTGTTTTCCTGTTGGTATCAGAGATTTCAATATATAGAACTTCTATATACCTTGATCTTCACAGAAAAGTCTAGAAGCTTTTTTCTCCCTATTACTCCCCTTAATCCTTTATTGTTTCAATAAGTTCATCTTCAGACATTTTGCAAGGGTTTGTTTACTGGTATCTATCTCTTTTGTTACAGGCTTTTGCTCTCACTAATGTCATAGTGGATAAACTTGGCTGTATACCATTCACATGCATATGAGCAGGCATATTTATGGATGGCAGAACCTGAATTGGAGATGATGAATACAAAGCTGATGGCTGTGATTTCGGAGCTGTTGTTCTCTCCAAATAGATTGCATATGGCTAGACAGGGAGCTGTTTTATGTTTGATGTCATGTTACAGCAGTGGTTCTCAATCTGTGGGTCGCGACCCTTTCGGGGGTTAAGTGACCCTTTTCGCAAGTGCTGCCTAAGACCATCAGAAAATACAGCTATTTTTATTATGATTATTTTATATTATGATAAAGCAGCAGCAAAATTACAGTTATGAAGTAGCGACTAAAATAATTTTGTGGTTTGGGATCACCACGGCGTGAGTAACTGGATTAAAGGGTCGCAGCATTAGGGAGGTTGAGAACTACTATTTCATGTCTTTAAGGATTGTATCAGTATAAGAATTACTGAGATTGACGTTGAGGCTACTCGAACGCGTCAGAAGTGATTAAAAGCAATATTTCACATTTAACGGTTTTTAACAAAATGCTGTGTAGTTAAGACTGTGACAAAAAACTCTTACAAATTGCTAATGACAAAACTTGTGTAAATCTTCTGTGGGCTGTAAATAGATGAGGTGGAGGCAGACATGGTGTTTGTCTTTGTAAATCATGTAGCTAATACTTTCTACCCACATACTGACTTATGCTTTGTTTTTATTTAGTAGAACTTCATATGCTCTTTTAACGTCTAGATATCCCTTTGTTGTTCTTCTTCTTCATAAGTTTTCTATAACCCTTGAGTCGGCTCGTTTAACTCCAGAAAATACTCTGTTGAGATTTTTATAGGGATCATAAAGGTGTAATTTAATTTAGGATTAATATATGTATGTCGCCCATTTTTCCTACTGCAGACTGGATCTGCCTTTCTCTCTGTGTACATCCACCTATGTTTTGCATTTAGGTTTTTCTGAAGTAGGCAAGTCTTCAGTGGGGACCTCGTGGGAAGACAGCAAGGTGTTTGGTGCCGACAGTCAGGAAGCAGATGACTTGGTGCTGGCATGTGGCCTTCTAGTCTACTACATTTACTTCCTGGCATTTCCACACATGTCTATGCTTTAGAAAATTACTTCTTTTATAGTGTGGTACTGGTTTTATTTATGGACACAGAGTAGTGATAACTGTATTTAGCAGTTCCTTCCCGCATGGTAAGCTTGAGTTTTGTAGGTAAAGACAAAGCAAATGCAAATAGAGAAATTTTTCCCTCTTTGCAAGCCCTCACTCCTGTCCAAGATTTCCTCAATGTGACATGAAGCAGCTATGGTGACCTTGGAAAACCTATTATACTTCCAGGTTTAGTGAGGAGATCATCTACTTTTCTTGAGCCGAGAAGTGAGGGTTTATTTTGGCTACAGTTTGATGCTGAGGTCACTCTTGGTGGTACCTCACAGTCAGTGAGGTGTCTGGTCCCATTGTTTCCACAGGCAGGAGGCAGAGAACATGGATGCTGGCACCCAGTTTCTCCTTCTCACTCAGTCCTGCATCCCTGCCTGTGGGATGATGTCACCCACATTCAGGGTGGGTCTTCTCTCTTCATTTAAACCTTTCAGAAATATCCTCGTAGACACATAGAGGTGTGTTTCCATTAATCTATGGAAGAGTAAACATGACTATGGGGTTGTTTCTGATGCTTTCCCTGTGGCATTGTCCTTATAATAAACAAGAGACTTCTGACCCAAACCATGGATTTGAATATGGATTCTAAACCCATGGAAAGGCCAGATCTGCTGTGGCTCTCCCTCAAATTGAAGGTGTAATGGACAGCAGCTTCCTGTACACCGCAGGTGTGTCCCATGTTTTCACTTCACTCCATCTCTGTTGAGGCCAAGAAACCAGAGCCAATCTTGGCAGGTCAGAGGTATTTCTGGGTTTCTCTTCCCTACTTTCTATGTTTCAGTTTTATCTGCAGACCTTGCCCTTCAATTCTCTGCTCGTTTTGTTAGTTCTTCAATGCTGTAGGATGCTTGGAAATCATGTTATTCTTCATAGCTATTTACTTTTCTCACAACATTCTTCAAGTTTTCTTACATGTCTTCATTAAAATGAAAGTTTTCATCCCTCGTTCTATTTCTGTAAAATGTTCAGGCTCACCACTCTTCAGTATAAGCCTGCTTAGGTAACTTATTTACTTGAGACAATTTGCTTTCTGCATTGGTCCGTTTTCTTCATTGTTCTTAGATAGACCCAAGAAAAAAATGTTAAAGGAGAGAAGATATGTTCTGGCTTGCTCACAATTTTAAAAGTTTTAGTTCGTGGTTAACTGACTCCATTGCTTTTAGGTTCATGCAAGAGAAGCAGAAACATTATGAATGAAGGTCATGGTAGAGGAAAGCTATTTATCTCATGGCAGACCTGAAGCAAAAGGGAGTAACAGAGAAGAGGCAGGACAGGGCCCATCGTTCACAGACTCATCTCCAGTGACCTCCTTGGGTGATTCAGGAGCCAACACAAACTTTCCACCGCCTCTAACAATGCCTGCAAAGGAAGCATTCATTAATTGCCATTCATTAGGTTAAGCTCACATAACACAGTTACCTCTCAGTGATTGGGTGTAGCACCCAGAAGGCATACCTTTGGGGTCCCACCTTATTTGTAAGCCATAGCAGCTCCTTATAATGTGTAAGAGGAAGACTCCACATGGGTTGTTGACACTATTCAGAAGTTGCTCCACACTTTTCAGGATCACTTAAATCTTTTTTTCTCCTGAGATTGTACACATCAGCCACTAGAGCAGTGGTCGCCAATCTTCCTAGTGTTGTGTTGAGACCCTTTCATACAGTTGCTATGTTGTGGTGAGCCCCAACCATTGGTGGCCTTAGGCTATCCCTGTGAATGGGTTGTGTGCTCCCCAAATGAGTCATGACCCACAGGTTGAGACCCACTACACTATAGCTTTCTATTTAGTTCTCTGTTGTCTGTCATTCTGTACATTTGCAGTTTCAACCCTGCCTTCTCCTATCATGACTGACTCATGGCCACTCCTCAGTTGACCTCATCTGGTTCCTAGGTGAGGCTGGCTCTCCCTGCTCTCCTATACCAGCCTCAACTTCCCTGCCATGGCATTTCCATACCCTACTGTGTTTACTGTCTTATCCTGGGGTTGAATTTTCATGCAGATCATGTTTGCTACTGGGTGTCTACTAAAGAGTAGACATTTAATTAAATTCATTTAATATATGAATAAATGGGTGTCAGGAACACTGTTTCCCAAAGCAATTGTCTTAACCGGGCTATTCACCTCCACCAGTAAGACTTCTGTGTAAGTACCATGTCCCTACCTTGGAATAGTGCTATGCCATTGAGTTGTTATCCTCACTTCCATTTGTATGTGTCTGTAATCTTGTTGCCATGCAACCGGCTGACTGACTGCTGATGAATGCCAGATAAAACCATTCTGCAGCTTTCTGCCTCTCATTTCTGCTTTCCTTTGCACTCTGGACAAAACAATGTTCCAGACGGCTCCTAGTGGAGCTGATTTGCTCCCTCAGTTCACAGAGGCTCCAGCCTTCTCTACCATCTTTCTCTGGTCTTTTTCTCCAGTAACTGTTATCTGTCTTGGCCAATCCTTGGTGGGACGTGACATTTGAGCACTTGTCTGTCTTCATTGGTGTCATGCAATGTGATCCCCTCAGGGCAAGGTCCTTGCTTTGCACACTGCTGGAGCTGATGACTGAGCTTAGCACCTCCTTATCCCTGAGTGTTAGTTGAGGGAGTAAGTGTTGGTTGAGTGAATGAATAGATGTACTTTGTCAGTCACCCTGAGCCACAGTCCTCAAAACACCTGGTTGTGCTCCTGCAATCTTTGCTATGAAGCCTGAGAAAGTTCCTTTTTTTTTATCTTTCAATTTTAAAGTCTTTGGGTGGGAGGGTTGTGATCTATTTCCAATTTTGCAAATAAAATATAACCTCTACCTTTTTGGATCCTTTCTATATAGGTTAAATTGTATAATTACAGGGGCTTTAAGATAGATTGGAAATAAGATTTTCATTCAAATCTAGCCAGTTTTAGTTTATGGTAATGGACTTCTTGCTTAGCAGCATAGCTGCTGGTTGGATTCCTTGCCTTTGGTCAAGGACTGGTAATCTGAAGAAAATGGAGTGTATATCTTTCAGAAACATCCATAGAAAAAGTTCACAACAGAATTAAATTTGAGCCTCCAAATGCAAAGTCAGTTGGAATTGGCTCATTGTGGATCGCTAAATATTAAAAACATCTGAAGTAAAGTGCTCAGAATAAGGTCCGATGTCGTGTGGACTCAGATCTCGATTCTGCCCGCCCTTCCCATGGCAGCCACAGTGCCCCTCAGCAAAGGCACCGTGGTTTGGTTTAGCAGGCTATTGCTTTGGTTCTGTAGCTTCTGGGATGTTGAACACTGATGGAAACGGTTTGATGATTTGGTGAATTTATTTATTTCTCTTTGCTGTGTGTGTTTGGTACTGTCTCACACACATGTTGCTGCTGGATCTTCCCTTGACCCTCCCAGTCAGTGAAGTTACTAGTAAATTCACTTTACAGAACAGCATAAAAACCAGTCTTAAGGAAAAATGTGGACCCCTGAGCATGAAATGCATTGGGAAGAAGGGAGTGCTTAGCCTTTTACTCATCTCCTTCCTAGATTTCAGGTTTCTTACTCTAGTACACATTTCTTATTTTATTTTGTTAAATTAAATTAAATACATTGTGTGTGTATACTTACATTATTAATGTTTCTTTTATGCAATTAAATGAATATTACTATATAATTGAGACTCTACATTCATTATAAAGATCTTGTGAGTGAGTGTATGACACTTACTTGTTTGTTTTAGATCCTTGCACTCGCTTGTGATGCCTGTAAAGAAGTCATCCTCCGGGTCCCCTCCGAACTACCTGCTGAGAAATTTGTTGGCAGAGGTAAAGGGTGGCTACAGTGTGTCATAAACCCTGATGTGGTATGCTCTCTTAAACGTCCCTGTGATGTGTAGGACCATGAAGGTCTTGTGATTAATAGCTAACAGTGAACAGTGTAGTCATTTTGATACTTTATATCATACCAATGAAATAATTATTATTGATTGGAACATATGATTATCCAAAGAAGATAAAAAGATAAAGTTCAAATAATAACATAATTTTTGATATTTATGTTCCATGTATGATATTGTATATGCTAAATATGCTTCTAAGCATTTGAGAAATAATATTGAAGTTATTTCTTGAGTTTGGCAGTGTTCTTGGATTTTCATCATTAAACATTTTGATGTCTTACTGAATTTTATTTCTTCTCCTCCTCCTCCTCCCCCTCCTCCTTCTCCTCCTCCTTCTAGGTTCTGGGCATCAAACTCAGCGCACTGTATTTGTTGAGCAATCAGTTTATCCTGAGATATGTCTTTAGCCTTGTATACTTCTTTTAATAAATCAATTCTTTATTTAGTTTAACTATTAAAATAAGTGTGTGTATATATACACGTGTGCTTCCCCTGCCCTCCCCCCATGCAGGGTAAGAATTTTATTCCCTGACATCTCACTGGCCCAGTCGATTCTTTATGTAATTTAGTTGTAGAAGGAAAAAAAAATCAACTAAATGTGAAAATGTGTTAATTATTTTACATTTAGTGTAGACTTCAGTAGTATTTCGATTTAGTAACTGTTGACTTTAATTCAAGTACTGTGTAGTCTCTAATAGCTAATTTTAGATAAGAAAGAAAATTCATTGTGTCAAATGTTCAAATACTGGAATTCACGGAATTCACATGCCATTTTTTCAGGACAAGTATCTCTTTAAACACATGTAAAACAAAGTGTTAGAAGCAATATGTGTATTTTGAGAGGACCTCAACCATATAGTTTCACATATGATTGAAAAATGCTATATATTCCACTATGTGATTTAAGTGTTTTGATCCCTGAGACAAAAGTTTGAATGTCTGGGGATGAAGTAGCCATCAACTTTAACAATTAAGGCCAATATTTTTTGTCTCCTAAATCAAGGTACTAATACTTTTGAACTCAGTGTTGCTAAATTGAGTGCTGTGTGTATTTTCTGCAGTGAACCTGATGGACTGCCTTAAATCGGCAAATATAATTCATCTGAGTGATCCTGATTTCCAAGTCTTAGAAGATGGTTCTGTGTACACAACCAATTCTGTTGTTTTGTCCTCGGGGCAAAGAAGCTTTACCATATGGCTTTTCAACACAGATAGCCAAGAAGAAAGGGAGCTATCTGTCCATTTAGAGGGCCCAGTAGAGGTAAGAGAGATGATATAAGTGAAGTGTAATTGGTGTTTCTTTCGGGGTAACTGACACCGACAAGGAAGATATGGAACCAGAGAAGACTTGGGGGGACACTTTGGTTAGAAAGGGAATGAGAGCCAGGGTCAACTGTGTTGTAGTGGTGGAGGCTTGGTTGTGAAACATGTCATTACAAGTTGTCATCCCTTTCATTTAGGATAAGCTTCACATGAGAACAGGAGACAGGACACAAAGAAACACTTTGATTTGGGGGATGTATTTCTAAAAACAAGTTTGGAAACTCTACCTCTTGAAAAGCCCACAAAAGGATTTCGGGCCAAAGATGTAGATAGTTTAAGCAGGCATTTATTTAGCCAAGCCAACAAATAGTATAAAGAGAGATTCAATTGTGCTGTTCCATGGCAGGGATCAGCCAGTGAATTCTGTGTTGTGGATCTTATAAAAAAAGTTTTATAACTATTCATGAAGTGGATAGCATATTCTGGGGAAAAGGTGATCCTTTTATGCCGTCAATTTATGATGGACCACATTTCACTTTTATAGGGTTTTTTTTCCCCATGGTCCTCTAGAAAAGCTCACAAACAGAGTAGGAGTTTGGTGGGGGTAGCGTGGGGGGACAGAAAGCCACAGTGCAAGTGATAAAATGATGACATCAGGCCTTGGGGGATGCAGATCCTTTGTTAGGGGACATACGAGGGAGAATGCCCTGGTGCCTTAGTTTCCAATGTGTTGGGAACAGTCTAACTGTGGCTTTAACACACTTACCCTAGAGGGGATCTGAGTGTCTGGAAACTGCTACCTGGACACAGCTGCAACTTCCTTCTTTACCTCACATTTAACTCCTTGCCTACCCCATGTCATTAGCATGGCTCGTAGTCTTAGAAGACAGATAACATTGTCAAGGTTTCGACCATATGTGTGCCTGTTCATTTTGACACTGAAGGTCAAAAAAACCCTCTCCTAGTCCCTGGCTGTCCTTTACTGAAGTGGTCTGAGCTCTATCACCATATTTCTCTCTTCGTTCTGACAGATCTTTCTTGGTCCCCAGGCTCTGGCTAGTGGCTGGTGAGTGGAATGTGCTTTTGATAAATCTGGAAGCCAAGCCATCCAAGTCATTCTAACTGCATCTCCTTCTCCTGTGCTCTTGCATGGCAACGTGGCAGCAAGCATTTGCTTCTCAGTGTGGCATCTACTCTTCTGGTCTCTCTCTCTCCATATTTCATCAAGTTATTTTCTCAAGAGAATGGCTGGCATCACAATAACTACAGTCTTATTTTTTGTCAGTAGTGTTATTATTTCTGCAGTATTGAAGTTTAGTTTGGTTTTGAAGTTCTACTGTGGGTTTACATGTCCCTAGCCAGTCCTTATGAGAGGAGACAAATGTATCAGTTTGAATGTCTGGGGATGAAGTAGCCATCGACTTTAACAATTAAGGCCTATCTTTTTTGTCTCCTAAATCAAGGTACTAAATAAAAGACAGCACACAGAGAAAGTTCTCAGCCGTGCCAAGAGAAGATGGGCTCCTATCCCTTGTTCCATGCTAGAGAATTCACTGGGTCCTTTCCCACTTTTCCTTCAACAGGTAGAGTTTACTAAGGCTGCAGAAGTCTGTCATTTCCATTTTCAAAAAGAATCAATAGCTATTTAAAAGTAATTGTGTGAGGGTTGGAAATGTGTCTCAGTGATAGAATGCCTGCCTATTGTGCTTAAGACGTTGAATGAATCCTTACTGATTAAAAACATGAAACTATGTAAAATAGTTACACAAAAATATGTGAATGGAAGGCTTAGGTGCTTCAACATGTGTGCAAATATTTCTTAATAGTTATGCACATGTTTTGCAGCTTTAGTTGTGCAAACGTAATCTATGACAACTGTAAAACTCATGTAGTGTTCTAAAGCCATATTGGTGTTGCTCATTTTATATATTGTTACGAAGATAGCTGCTTTCAAGTGTATTGTGTATTTTGACCAAATTCACTCTCACCTACTGATTTTTCTCTCCCTCCTCCCACTACCCTCCTTCTTTCCTCCACTCCCTCTTCTGCTTTCATGTCATATAGAAAATGGTTTTATACATTATAGATACTATATGTATAATACATTACCTACACATATATATACAGTTTAGATCCATAAATGGGAGAAAATATGGTGTTTTTTTTCCAGAGCTTGGCTTATCCATGTAGACAGGGTCTTGCCCCTTAGCCTCAGGCTGGCCTTGCCTCCTAATTCTCCATCTCTCTTTCTCGGTGCTGGGACTACAGGCAGATGCCACCATATCTAATGAAAACTAGCCTTTAAAAATACTTGGCCAAATACAATAAAATCTCAGGACTAAATTGAGTGGCAATAGATAATAATTCAATATCATCTTGCTATAGTTTTTAATAAAGAGAAGTCCCAAATGTTTGGTTTATAAATATAATGTTTAGTCTATAAAATATTTTTGGATTTGCTGCTGTGGTATTTTGCAAGTATGTTGTTTTTGAAGATTTCTCATTGTAATTCCTTATTATATTGCTGAGTTTTTTTCTGAAAACTGAACACAACAGGGGATAATTGTTTATTTTAGTAACTGGCAGTGTGATTGAATAAAAATACATATACAAGTTCTGCTGAAGTAAAAATCTGTTCCATGCTTATACTATCTGCTCTCTAGATCCAGTCTGACACAGCTCAAAACTACACCATATACTATTCCATCAGAGGTCCAGGAGTTGATAAAGAACCTCTAAACTTATTTTACGTGGAAAGAGATACTGGAAACCTGTATTGCACTGGTCGTGTAGATCGTGAGCAGTATCAGTCCTTCGAGGTAAGGTCTAAAGATCATGTGTTGTATTAGAAGAAAGCTGGGGAGGAAAGGGTTTATTTGGGTTATGCGCCACATCACTGTTCATCATTGAAAGAAATTAGCTCAGGAACTCGAAACAGGCTAGGAACTTGTAGGGACGAGGTGGTGCAAAAGCCATAGATGCTGCTTTCTGGTTTGCTCATCACAGCTTGTTCTACCTGTGTTTTCATAAAACTCAGGATCACCAGTCCAAGGATTGTTCCATTTACAGTGGGCTAGGACGACCTCCCCCATCAGTCATTATTAAGAAAATGCCCTACAAGCTTGCTTATAGTCCAGTCTCCCGCAAAAAGTTTTTCAACAGGGGTTCTCTGCTTTCAGAAGACCCTAGCCCCTGTCAAGTTGATAGAAAAATTAGGCAGCACAGCAGTTACTAACTGCAGCCACTATAACATTTACTCCCTTGCCCCAACAAAGTAAAAAGAATAAATAAAATTCATTAGGTTATTTCTGGTTTTATGATTTTTTTTCTGTTTTAATTTTCTAAAGGAGAAACAGTTGGCTACGCATTTGTTTGTCAGAGAGGGTTTAGCTCAGTGACAAGAGCATGCTTGACCCATGTGAGAAACTGAATTCCATTCCTAGCACCACAAAAACAAAACATGCTCATATATATATATATATATATATATATATATATATATATATATATATATTTTGATTTTGCTCTATTCACAGCTGACTGCATTTGCAACAACTCCAGATGGGTATACACCAGAGTACCCACTGCCACTCCACATCATAATAGAGGATGAAAATGATAACTACCCGATCTTTACACAGACAGTTTACAGCTTCACAGTTCTGGAAAATAGTCCCATTGGTAAGTAGCTACACCATTGATATAGGGAGGCTTGAATGGGCTTTGGTTCATAAACTGAGCCTCTCTGTGGCCCCAGGAAAGCATCCTCATGTGGTGTCAAGAACAGGACATTTTCGTCTGAGTTTCACTGGTTTCTTCGTTTGACAACCTTCGGATTCTTAGTTTCTTATCCAGTCAATGCATTATCTGTAGACAAGAATATCAAAAAGACTGCATGATTCTGGTACCCTCCAAATAAGTTACTTTACATATCTATGAGAGGTGAATGAAATGGTTTTAAGTGAAGAACCTTTAAACAAAGTCATTCAGCATGTGAGACCATCTCCTGCATTCCAGTGATGAGTAAATGGGTAGGAACATTCTGGGCATGATCAAGAGTCATGAGAATCCTTTGGGGACTTACCGTAGGAAGACCTGACTGAACCAATTAATGTTTAGAAAAAACTGCCTCAAATGGTTAATGTAAGCACAGGCTTGCAAATGAAAAAAGAGCTTAAGAATAATCAGAAAAAAAATCTCAGTTTAGAAGTGCAGAATTAACAAAGGGATAGCATCATCATTTTATAGAGGCCCACAGGAAAATACAGTGAAAATAGTGGTGGTCACCATATTCCCAAAATATTACACTATGAGTGTATTTAAAAAGAGGTGTTATTTTCTGTAAGCATCTAATAACTTATAAAAGCTGTGATACTGCTCTGTCAGAAAGTGCTCCAGATGAATTCCAAAGCAGCCAAACAGAGGGAGTTAAGAGATAGAACACATTTGGGTTTGAAACTGAACAGGAGCTTTTCCCCCACAGGTTCTCCGGTGGGGGAGGTCTGTGCAACAGACAAGGATGAGCCGGGCACCATGCACACTCGGCTGAGGTACTCCATCCTGAAGCAGTTTCCTTCTCCACCCACGTTATTTACTATGCATCCCAATACTGGTGTGATCACCACCACGTCAGCTCAGCTGGACCGAGAGGTAACTAATGTCAGCAGGGAACGCTGGATTAGAGCCTAATTTTTAAGAGCACACTGTCTCAGCTGGATAGAGGGGTCTCATGTGGTAGGGGATGAAGCTGGCTATTTAAGAGCATGGATACATTATCTCTAATCTGAAAAATCTCAAGGTAGAAATGCACCAAGATATGAGCTTTTTTTGAACAATAATTTGTCACAGACCGAAAATTCTGCACCTAACCTCATGGAACCAAAACACAGTCATTCTAAAAATACAGTATAAAACCGCCTTTGAGCTGTGAGCATTCAGTGTTAGTGGAACACACAGCAATTTGTGTCTTAATATGGGCCTGACACCAAGGTACCCTGTGATGTAGATTCAAGTGTTCTAAAATCTGTTAACATCTGAAACATTCTGGTGTCCAGGCACTTTGGATGACGGGTGCTCACGCCTGCTGTCTCTGCAAAGGAAGGTCATTAAGTAACCTCATGGCATGTTAATTTAGAACATCTAGAATATTCTTTCTTGAATTTTATCTTTTATGAAATCAAAATTTTCATAGAGATATTGAAACAAGGAAGCATCTAATAAAAGTGAACCTTCTCAAGATGGGTGGAAATATATTATCCACCTTTTAACTTTTAAAATGAAAGAATACTTTTAAGCCTTGTTTATGTTCTTCTCCTTATGTAGATAAAATGTCTTTACATGAATAGCCTGTGGTTCCAGTTTTAGCTAACTGCTCAAATCCTTATCTGCCTGGACATCTGAAACGCACCATAGGTGCAGTGTATATAAAATTTAACTTGCCAGCAACTCTCTTTCCCGTCTTGTTTTCTTTTTTTTTCCCAAATGACTTTAGTAAGTTCCTCAGTTGATGACTTTTCTAATATCCATTTGCAGTCGTGCTGTTAAGACTGTGTATGCCTCTTCTCATCTAGATCCAAAAACTTTCCAAAGTAGGCCGATATCCCTCTGAGGATGCTTTACATGTATATTGTATACTTTTACTGTGACTACGCTATTAGCTATTTATTTACTTCCTTACATTCCCCAGCCAGTGCTATGCACTAAAATCCCAATAAAATTTTGCTGCTCTTATGTAATGTCACCTGTGATCTTTAGTCTTGGAGTAGTACATGATTATTGAGTACTTTTATGAATCTCAGAATTCCAACAGTGGCTGGAGACACACTCATCAGTTGGGCCAGGCTGTACTTTCAGGGAACCTGTGTTTAGTTCCCATAACCATACTGAGTAGTGCACAACTGATTATATCTCCAGGGCATGTGACACTTTCTTCTAACCACATGACCTCTGTGACACTGTGCTACACATGCACGCACTTAGGAGAATCCAGAATTTCAAATACTGGTAAATGATTAAACAATAACAAGCTATCATGTTTTCACTTCTTTATATACTTTAAATACCTTTATACCTTGTTGATACAAGTTAGCCCAAATTGTTGTTGGCAACAAATAGTTGTTTAATAAAAGTTGCTTAATAGTTGCTTAATAAATCACTTCAATAAGTGATTTAACAAAATGTCTTATAAATGTTCTCTGGACAACTACAGGTTCTTTTCATGTATAAATAGTACCTTTGGAATAAAAACAAACAAAAGAAATAAGATCAGAAGGGTTTGTTAAGCATCCAAACCAAACCTTTTAATGAACACTTACAGGGCTGGAGAGATGGCTCATTGGTTAAGAGTGGATATGTAAACATGTTGTGCTGGGAACCTAATCTGTATCAACTGTTCATAGCACCTACCACAGGGGATTGACACTCTTGGACTCTCTGACCATCTGCCCTCACACAAACACCCACATATACACATGATGATCAATAATGATAATGAATCTCAACAAGTAAATGAATATTGATGACAAAGTTGGTAACAAACAGTGGACACATGAAAGAGTTTACTAAATAGTTCTTGGCAGTAAGTTTTTAAACTCGGGATTCCAGTTTGCACATGTAGTTTCGCCCTTTTTAAATATTGGAGCTTCTCTTTTGTCTACAGATAACACAAATCTGTATTTTAGGACAGTAAAAAAGAATTTCTTTGCTTTCTCAGTCAACTGACTATTTTCAATAATCTCAGTGCACTTTGCTGCAAAGGAAACGTGCACCCCTCCTGAGAGGCAGCAGCGTGAGGGTCATAAGGGCAGGCAGGTAAAAAAGTTAGTTGTCATTTAAGCCTGCATATGGAAGAGGTTGTGAGGGAAAATGGGTTGCCAAAGGTGCCTGTGAGTAACAAACATTGACACTTCAGTTTTATTTTAGTTATTTAATGGGTGAAGGCAGGAAGGATTAGCAGGGACCGAAATTATGGTACAAAGACGGCTGAAAAGGAGACAAGCAGTCATTTTAGTAATAATAGTTTAGAATATAAACATGTACTTTGGACTGGACATAAAACATTATCTGCATTGCTGTGGAATACTAACATACCCATGACTACAGTGTTTCTCTTCCTTTTGAAAGTTCCTAAAGGTAATTGTATATTTAGTTGATAGCACTTTCCCTTTGAGAAATGACTCAGTTTTCGTATATCAATCACATATTACTAGAGTGAGACAGTTTTTGTAGGTGTAAATGCTGTGAAACAGAACAATGTTCTTCTAAATTATTAGTGCAAGTCAAGTTACAGAGTAGAAATCAAGATTCCATTTATAACGATGCTCTTTTACCTAATAGTTACATTTTCATTGCTTTCAGTTAATTGATAAGTACCAGTTGATAATAAAAGTCCAGGATATGGATGGCCAGTACTTCGGTTTGCAGACAACAGCAACCTGTGTCATTACTATTGGAGATGTGAATGACAACCTGCCAACGTTCACTCGTACTACGGTAAGTGTGTGCTGTTTACTAGAGAGAAATGCTTGAGTCGGTGTCAGCTTTAAAGTATGAATCCCTTTCTGTGCCTCATGGATTAACACAAAATGCTCACAATGACATGAAGGTTTAAATATGAGAACATGGTACTTGGAAAATTGCAAGAACAGGGCTTACTTCACATGGTAATCTGTTTTGTGAGGCTCAATTAATGAAGCTTTATTCTTCTTACTTTTTTTTAGTATGTGACATCAGTGGAAGAAAATACAGTTAATGTGGAAATACTACGTCTTACTGTTCAGGATAAAGATTTAGTTAACTCTCCTAATTGGAGAGCTAATTATACCATTTTAAAGGGCAACGAAAATGGAAATTTTAAAATTGTAGCAGATCCCCAAACCAATGAAGGCATTCTGTGTGTGATTAAGGTAAGAATTCATTGTTAAATTGGATATTTGTAATTTATAACATATAATAGCAGGCAAAGATTCAATGGGAAGAAAGACATTCTGGTAAATGGAAGCATAAAATAGATAATTTAGGTAATTATAAATACTATTTCATTTATATACATTAAATGGAATAAACATATTCATTTTGAGTAACTATTAGTTTGCTTTCTATAGCTGTGATAAAGCACCACGAACAAAAGCAACTTGAAGAGAAAACTTTTTTATTCATATTTGCTTGCACTTCCATTTCATAGTTCAAAGGAAGTCAGGGTAGGAACTCAAGGCAGGAACTGAAACAGAGGTCATGGAAGGACACTCTTTATTGATTTGCTCTCTTTGCTTGCTTAGTCTTGTTTCTTAGATACCTTAACAGCTTCTCAGGGGTGGCACCACCCACAATGTGCTGGGCCCTCCCACATTAATCATTAATGAAAAAAGTGATCACAGGCTTCCCCACAGTCTAGTCTTACAGAAGCATTCCTTGAGAATCTCTCTTCTCAGATGACATGGTTTTATAATGTCTTCATTTGTGTTTTATTCATGTGGCTGAGTATACATTTTATAACATGTATTTTAACAGTTTAGAAATTAGTGTGACATTAACCCCAACGGAGAGATCCAATCCTTTACGGAATATTCTTTCTGTTTCTGGATCAAGTAGTTTTCATTGATTTACTGAGTTTCTCAAATGAGTTAGACCTGGTCAGACTCAGGGAGACTGTCAGTAGGTTTGTCCGTATCTCGTATATAGTCCAGTCTCAGTTAGCATCCAGATTCACAGCATGCAACTCAGCAGTTAGAGATGTCCTCAATCCCATGACCTCTGATTCACATAATTTAAGAGCCAGGCTTGGTACAGGAAGGAGCTCAAGCTGCTTCAACCCTAGATGCTTATATGGCATCATAGGTTCATTTCTGTGACATCATTAAATAGACTATAATTTCATCCTGGGTTTAGAGCAGTGGTTCTCAATCTGTGGGTTTTGACCTCTTTAGAGATTGAAGGACCCTTTCACAAGGGCAGCATTACCAGATATCCTGCATACCAGATATTTACATTACAATTCATATCAGTAACAAAATTACTGCAGCAATGGTTGGGGGTCACCGTAACACAAAGAACTGTATTCAAGGTTAACAGCATTAGGAAGGGCGAGGACAGTTGGTCTAGAGAGTTTTCCTTTTATACATTCTCAAGGATAGTGGAACAAAGATAACTTCACTTTCCTCACAGTGATGCATTTTAGCTGCGGTTTCTGGGCTAATTTTTGTTTCCAAACAACAAAGAGAAGCCCTTTAAATCCTCTCTCTTACTTGACTCCACAGCTGTCCCACCCTCACGCCAGCCTTTATCCCTGGATCATTTTTTGTCAACTGCCCTCAGCACTTCTCTAACCAGGCGTAATAAAGCATACTTTCCACCAACTTTGGATGAAGACATTTTAAAAAGGAACAAATTGTGTCCCTAAGCTTTCTATATTCTTGTTCCTTCACTGTTTTGTTCAAATCCCTGGGAAAGTTCAAAGACTTAGACTCAGTTCAAGTTTAGACTAACTGAATTTATTCTTTAGGTGAGCATCCTTAAACAGCATCATATCCTGCCAAAGGGAGCTAAAGGTAGGGCTTATAAAGGTGGCCACCAAAGGTAGACATTACAGATATCTATAGACTCCACAGCTGGGCAAGAGAACGTTCTTCTTCCTCTCAGTTGTTTCTCTTGCCCATTATAAAATAATAAAAGGACCACTTCGTTCCAGTCCCACAGCATGAAGAGTTTATGGAAGAGAAAAGCAGGGGGGCAAAAAGCAAGATGCAAAGACCAAGGAAGTTTACAGAAGCAAAAATCAAGCAGTTAAGTGCCCCACAGCAGGAACACCCTATCCTATTCTTATCTCACTTGCAGGGCACCAGGATCTCACAGGCATTCCAGGGCAAAGGTCAATGGCCCTTAAGGGGTGCTGGTTCTTTAGCCTGAACAGGGGCGGTATGTGTAAATTATTAGGCAGGTCTGAGCACTCCCGTAGAAGTGTTTAATGATTGGGATAGAGCAATTTCTTTCTTCGAAGGCAATGATTTCTTTCTTCATGCTCCCCAGTAGGGCTGGCTGTCACATCACCATACCACTCCTAAATGTTTTGTAGGGCTGTAGCTACAGTAGCACGCTGGTCTAGCACACATAAGGTCCTTGATTCAAATTCTAAACCAACCTAAAGTGGGCATGGTGGTACACAGCTGTAAAATCCAGCCTTTGGAAGGTGGAGGCAAGAGGTTAAGATGTTAATGTCATCCTTGGCCAATCTTGAACGAGAGAGAGAGAGAGAGAGAACCTTAAAAATTTGACCTAGTTTTTGACTTCTAAATCTTTCTTAGACTCTAAGATAAGCTGTTTTAAAGTAACTACTATAAAATAACTGTTACAGTCCATACCCAAAATTGGAACATATATTAAGCAACTAAGTGGTTAAATCTTATCTAGAGCCTATCTGTGATACCTTTCATTTTCAATTTTCTTTGAGGAAAAGTTGTTTGTTTGTTGCGAGCTCCACCTAATACCTGATTTGTTGAAATCTCCCCCACAATTCAGGCCTTTGTTTAATGTTCTCATGACTGTTCCCAATCTGGTCCTTAGTATTTTCAAATCAAGAAGTCCTTCATGTAGTGAACTTCACCAGCTCTTCCATGCTTTGACCTGATCATCTGTATATTTCCTGTAGCCTCTGGACCATGAAGAACGGCAACAGGTGACCCTGCAAATTGGCGTAGTTAATGAAACTCCATACACTAGAGAGGCTAGCTCAAAGTCACCCATGAGCACAGCAACAGTGACTGTCACGGTGACAAATCAGGATGAGGGCCCCGAGTGTATCCCTCCAATGCAAACTGTGAGGATTCGAGAAAATGTACCAGTTAGTACTAGATATGATGGATACAAGGCGTATGACCCAGAGACCAGAAACAGCAATGGCATAAGGTATTTGTACTGTTCTTGTTCCTTTAGCATTTACAGTGCTAGAAAAGTCCATAATTCTTGTTATTGGCATTATGATTTGACTCATGGTACTTCTTGTGTTCCATCACTGTGATTAATAGGTACAGGAAGTTAAGTGACCCACAAGGGTGGGTCACTGTTAATGAAGATTCAGGCTCAATCACCATTTTCCGAACTCTGGACCGAGAGGCTGAGACAGTCAGAAATGGCATCTATAATATTACAGTCCTTGCATTAGATGCAGGTAAGAAATCTCTTTCTAATACCTTTATTTTCGATTGTATGCTTCCTCAGTTTTAAAGTAAATTACATAGTCTTTGTTTTCATATGGGATCAAACCCAGGCCTTTCAGATGCCATACAAAACACCCTGCTAACACTGCCCCCAGGCCAACAAAACACCTGTTCCATCTTTTGAGACAAGAGTTCACTGTACAGCCTTGGCCGCTTGGGATCTCTCTATGTAAACCATATTGGCTTTAAACTCATAGAGGTCTATCTGTCTTCAAGTGCTGAGAATAAAGGCCTTTGCCATCATTCCCAGCCTACCAAACATATAGTTTTAAAACCGGCTTTGTATACTCTGGATTTATTTTCCTTCAGCATAACATATAATTAGAAGTTTGCTGTCATCTACTAATCCATCAGCTAACAGACTCTTTAGTATTAGATGCAACTATAAGATAATGTCATCTAAAATGGGGCCAATGATATGGCCCAGCTATTAAATCCTTGCTACCAAACCTGCAGACCTGAGCTTGATTCTCAGATGTAGGGAGAGAATGAACTACTGCCAGTTGTCTTTTGACCTGCATTATCGCTCATAATAATTAAACAGATTTTGTAAAAATTAAACAAAAAGACAATTTGGTGTAAGAAACGAAGTTATATTAATGATAGTCCTTAAAAGGTAGAAAAGATGTATTTATCTGGCAACATTCAGGAGAGTCCAGAAGAAGGGGGAGGTATTTAGTCACATAGTACACTTCTAGAAGACATAACATTTTACAGGAAACTAAGAGTAGACGTGGGGTCTAGAATTAATTAAGCACATTGTATAAAAGGAATCAGTCACAGTTAATAGTGTGTTGTAAAATGAGAGAGTCCATCTGTGAGTTCACATAGGCCACTTTCATTTCTGTTGCTATGATGAAATGACCTTATGGAAAGCAACATGGAAGAGAAAGGGACTTTTTAACTCACGAGTCCAGGTTGTAGTCCCTCACCCCAGGCAAGTCAAAGGCGGAAACCTGAAGCAGGCAGTCACATCCACAGTGGAGAGCAGAGAGCATGAAGGCGTGCACAGCCAGTGCTCAGCAAGCTCTCTCTACTCCTCTGCAGCCACGGCTCAACATCCAGGGCTGCTGAATTACTCTGTGGCTGGGTGTACTCACCTCAGTTAAGGTAATCAGGACAATCCCCTCTGCACAGACACGCCCACAGGTCAGTGTGATTCCACACTAAGACAAACTGACAATTAAACTGACCCCATACCATATAAGAACCTAAAAGGTAAAATTATGTTTTGTACATCTTGAAAATTCTGAAAAATATAAGAACAGAGATTGTGTGTATAAGACTCCTGTGTGAAGTGTAATTCTATTGTAAGGTATATTTGTTTGGGTGTGGTGCATACTGGCAATTACAGTACTTGGAGATTGGAAGCAATAGGATCAATTCAAGGCCAGCCTCAATTACACAGTAAGTTTGAGGCTAACCTGGGTTACCTGAGACACTTTCAAAAAGAACTTGAAAAAACAAAGCTATAATTGAATTTAGTGCATTTGTAAAATAAATATGAAGTTATAAGAAACATAACTCATTATGGTCTAACCTGAAAAATTAAACTATATAAGTGATTTCGGAAGATGATTTAGATATTAGAACTCTGAGTTAACTCAAATATTCTCAGGTGTGAGTCCTCTTAAATGTTGTTTCTTTGCGGAGCCTTCCTCTTTCTAGAATATGTACTAGATGAATTTTTGCTGTTTGATTTTTACAGGTAGTTGAACTGTGATTTCATTTCTGTTTAACAAATCACTTTCTTCATGTCCTTGAAGATCTTATATGTGTTTGTTTCAAAGCTCTCATGTAAAATGAATCCATCTTCCAACTGGTGATTTTGTTGTTTCTGTTAACACTACCCATTGGAATCTATCGTAGCATTAACAGGGGCCATTTGATCTGCTCTGCCTTTAGATTCTGCCCTCCTACCTTACTCTGTCTCAGCTGGAAGGTAGTTTTGTAGTGACTTGCACATACATTTCTGGTCTGTGGTTCAGGCCAGTTCTTAACCTGGTTGTCTGGTGTGCCTAACTTGTGATACTTCTAGAATTAGCACGATCTAGCCCCTGTGCCAGAGGGACCTTGGCTAAAGTTTTGGTTGTCAGTCAAGCTTAGTTTTCATTTGCTTAGGTTGGCAGCTGCATATAAGACATGGCCTCAAGCTCTGGGTGGTACAGTTTTTGTTTTTCCTTTTCCTCCATCTGTAGTGTCCAAATCCTCCTTACTATGTAGAAAGAACAAATGGTTTAGAGACAGGACTCCTAGTTTCATGCTCGGCTTTAAACTTCGTAACCTCCTTCCTCTGTGATTGCTCCATCTTTGTATATCCCAGACTTCCTGATGCAGTACCTTGTATAGAGTTATCAGAAAGATGTATATATATGAATGACAGGTTAATTACAGAAGTTACACCCACAGTCCTAAGTTCCGTTTACTTAATATATAGATGACAGGCTATTTATGAGGCTACACCCATAGCAATAATTTCTACATTTTGTCTCTATACCCATTGAGCATCTCCTTGAACCATTTTTGGTTAAAATTTCTAAATACATATATTATTCAACCTCTTTGTTTCAAAACCTAAGCATTCTCTTTATGTATGTTAAACTCCAAGTTCTCTAGTCTAGCATTGAAGGGTTCTTAGCTCTTGCCTGTGTCAGCCCTCACCTTCTGCCCTCTCCATTTTCTCCACATCACTGGTATGTGTGACATGCTGCCCACACTTTTATGCTAAGTATGTGTACTCTTTCTATACTTTGTTATTATCTCTTCAAAAATCAACTAAAACTTCTCTGTCAACCTTTCTTAGGCCTAGTGAACATGATCTAGTGAATAAATAAAAACATCTAAGTAGCAGGTATTGTATGTATAATTCACTTGGAAGCAATAAGACTTTTCTTTTAGTGTTCCCAGTGCTGTTGCTCATGGCTGTATTTGTTGCAGTAACCTATGCATTGTAAGTGATTATTAAATATAGATATTAATTTTCAATGTAGGATTTCCTAGCAAAAAATAAAAGATAAAAAAAATTGTGTTCTTACTGCTCTATGTCTAGACGGGAGAAGCTGCACTGGAACTCTGGGAATCATACTTGAAGATGTGAATGACAATGGCCCATTCATACCCAAGCACACAGTGGTGATATGCAAGGCTACCATGTCCTCTGCTGAAATTGTTGCGGTTGATCCCGATGACCCAGTGAATGGCCCACCATTTGATTTTAGTTTGGAGAGTTCTGATTCGGAAGTACGGAGGATGTGGAGGCTGACAAGAATCAATGGTGTGTGCTTTCAAAAAACTGCCTTTCTTTTTCAACATCAGTATTCTCTCTCTCTCATTCTCTTCCTCCCCCCACCTGTCTTTCTCTCTCTGCATGTATATATGTATATCTTAGAAAATAAGAGAAAATTTCATTGTAAGAGAACCATTCCAGAAGATACAAAATTTGGCGTAATGGACAGTGAGCCACTCCAGTGTTTGCTCTTGATGATATCAGGGTCCCCTTAGGTATTCCTTAGATTTGCATTCATATCCAAGCACTCACCTGCATGGATGTTTTGTAACTGCTAGTCTGACAAGCAGCTGGGACAGTAAGCACCCCCTTGTAGGGGCGTCTGTGTCTTTCAGAGATCCCAACGTCCCACAGCTTCTCTCTGACACCATGCTGGTGTCTTTCTGTTTTGTGTCTACTGTGTTCCCTTTGGGAATCTTACTCTCTTTGGTTCCCAGTTGACTGTAGCCCAGAAGGGACCTATTGTGACAAGAATGGGTAAACTTAAAGTAGCTTTTCTCCATTGCCACACTGACACCAGCACTTAATTCTAGTCTCCTATACACACTGTCATGGACTGGGAGGTCATGGCCTCGTAGCTTTCCTAAAGTCACCTTTGGATGACTTGAAACATTACCAAATGTTTTCAACCCCATGCTTTCAGTGCCTCAGTTTTCTGCCATGACAAATTAAAGGACAAGTTTTTAAAAGTGCAAGCTGAGGCACCCTTTCTTGAACCAGGATGATCTATCTATGCTAACAAGATATACAGATTTTAAAACAACATTCTCCTGTATGTCTTGGGGAAGAGGAAAGAAAATTTTATTTGTTTTTTTCTTAAGAAAAGATAACTTTATTTTTGTGTTTTTGTCCTCCCTACTTGTTTAAGGTAATAGTATTTCAATTTAAATGCAATTAATAGAAAATGGGAGATTTTAAAACAATTCTCTTTAGCCAAATAACATTTGGCCATAATGTTCTGGTCAGAAGGCTTGTAAGTCATTTTGTCTCTGTGGTATAAGAATTGAACCCAAAGTCTTGTGTTCTTTAACTGCTGTGTGTTCTTTCACTGAGATGTAACCCAGCTCTGAGTTTTGTTATTTTAAAAATACCAGTCCGTGAACATGTGGAGGCTTGGGAAATGCCAGGGTAAAAAGAATGAACTAACAGAAGTGTCGAAGTGACATGAGTTTCATGTCGAGAGCTGGATATACCAGTTATTACATAAATCTGACAATGGTTTTTATTCCCTTGGTACATCAGTTTACACATCTGTAAAACTGGATTATTTCTAGAAATCAACAAGATAATGAAAGACATAGAATATGACTCACTCTTAGTTTTGCTTTTGGACTCATGATTATGTCTTAGACAATTGACTGAATTAGTAACTGTGGTTTCTATTGAAATGTCAGTTCTGTGATTTCTTGTCCTAGGAAGCCAGTTTCACATTGGGAACTTCAAATACTACACAGAAAATGAGCACTTTGGGCACAGTTTCACATTGGGGGAATAAGTAACAAAGTGGTTATTCTCTGGCTTTGTGGCAATCTAAAATGAGCATGATATTACATCTTTTCCTCTCAGTCCTAGATCCTACCAGCATTTGATCTGTATATTTCCTATTTTTCATCTAAAAAAAAATTACATCAAAACAGCAACAAGAAAATTTAGTGGTCCAAGTGTCCTAAAGGACCATAAGATCAAGTTCCTTTGGTGTGCTTATGTCCTGCCTGTTAAGTAAATGTGTTCCAAGCTGTCAGAACCAGTTCTTGTTGATAAACCACAGGTATTTGTGTCCATTTGGCACATTTTATGAAAACAAATGAGAGATAACCGAATTTCACATGGTTGACTCCCTGTGATGAGTCACACATGAAGGGAAATCTAGTGTGATGGGTTTAAGTGAACCGATTAAAGATAGGACAAAGACTAACCTCTTACCACGTCTATCAGTCATTGTAGGAAGGATTTGTTTATGGACAGATAAAATACTTTATTGTAAGAACCAAAGGTCTTTATTAAAGAGGCAGGACATTAGTTAGCTCCCTCACTGTGGTGACAAATTAACAGGCAAAGGAAGCTTGAGGAAGGACGGGCTTATTCTGGCTCATGGCTTGAGGGTGCAGTCCGTCATGGTCGGGAAGTCATTGCTGCTGGAGCTCGAGGGAGCTGGTCACATTCCCTCCCCAGTCAGGAATTAGGAGCCATTAACGCTGATGTTCAGCTCCTGTCCTCGGGACACTGTTTTCAGTGTGAGTCTTCCCTCCCCATTTAAGTCTCTCTGGGAATGCCCTGAGACACATGTCTAGAAGAGTGTCCCCTGGGTGACTTTAAAACCGGGCTGGGTGCGGCTCCGAGGCTTTCAGTTCAGCTGCAGCTTCAGGGAGGATCCTAGCATTTATGAGACTCCATGAGTGTCCATTTGTAGGGAAGTGTGTATCTGTCTGATAACAGCCAGGTTCGCACAAGGAGCTCTTCTAACACCTGCTTTTATTTATTTATTCAGATACAGCAGCTCGTCTTTCCTATCAGACTGACCCTCCATTTGGATCCTATGTAGTTCCCATCCGAGTTACAGACAGGCTCGGTTTGTCCTCAGTCACGTCGCTGAATGTCATTGTATGTGACTGCATTACTGAAAGTGACTGCACACACCGCTCTGGAGAGAGGACTGGTTATGCTGAAGTGAGACTTGGACCATGGGCTATCCTTGCTATACTGTTGGGCATAGCCTTGCTATTTTGTAAGTTCTTTCTTGAGTCTAACTCAAAGCCTTTAAAACAATTTAAAGACATATTCTTAGAATGAATGTTAATACTTACAGGTGGTGGTTTGAACACAGATACATTTCTATGTAACACAACATATTTAACATACACACTTAAAACTTTCTATGTATATCTATTTTATTTTGATGGTGGTGTCCCCTGTGTGAAGATCAGAGAACAATTTTTAGGAGTCTCTTCTTCCATTATGTAGGACTGTGGTGTGGGGGGGACATAGGTCATCCATTTGGTGGCAAGCACCTTTACCTACTGAGCCATCTCACCAGCTCATGTATTTAATGCGTACTTATGTGTAACTCTCCTGTCTTGTCAGCAGGATATACATTTCACTGTAGAAATATACCATGTGGTATGTGTTTGTAGCATACCTGCCCAGGGCACACTCTTCTGCTATATACACTTTGATATGTGCAAACATATGTTTAGAATGTATCTTTAGTGCACAATTTATCCAAATCAGACACTGTCAACTCAGTTTTACATTATTTGATGAGACATTCACAGAGCCCCTTTCTTTCTGTCTCCAGGTATCCTGTTTACATTAGTCTGTAGTGCTTCCCAGACATCAACACAACAGAAAATTCTTCCCGATGACTTAGCGCAGCAGAACCTAATTGTATCAAACACCGAGGCTCCTGGAGATGACAAAGTCGTAAGTCACCTGTGTTTTTAAGCCAAATACAAATGGCAATTCAGTCTATAGTATTTCTTCTAGCCAGTTTGTTTCCTCAACAAACTTCTTCTGGTGTCTGATAACTTAGCAGCAAATGTCGTTCATCCCAGGGAATAGAGAAAATGCATCTAGTTCCCATGGGTGTGGGTATCTCAGTTTGAACATGCTGTGCTACTTGATATTAAAATAATCCTCAAGTGCATATTTTCTTTTTCTGTTTCAACCATCTCTCGGCTTCAGTGTTAGGGCTCTATTTTTAAAAGCATCTGTCTAAGCAGCTGTTTATGTTTTCAGGTGTTTCACTTAATTACTCACAGATCACCAGCGTAATTGTTTTTTTTTTTTTTTAAACCTGGCTCCAGCAATAAATCTCTACAGACTTTGATCATGGTGGGAAAAAGTTTATTGGACTCTTCCTGACTATAATGTGGGTTAGAACTGAGCCTAAGGCAGACAGTCTAAAGTGCTACACCAGTGAGAGGCAGGTGCTCAGTGGCTCTGAGATTTTTTTTAACCCAGTCTGTGAAGGAAGAACAAATAGACATCTTCTAAAAAGCATGGCTGATGGCTATAGCAGGAAAGATCGAGAAACACAAGCAAATGACAAAACCAAACCAAATGACCTAACCATGCCAGAGAAAAAGACCAAGGGGGAAAGTTCCTTAATTATAAGTCAGGGTCTAAACACACAGCCAAGAAGAGGGGTGGGCAATGTGCTGGTGTTTCTGGTATTTTCCTTCCTGGCTTACTGTTTGATTTATGCAGACTATAAGGAATATAGATTTATAGTAATTTTTTTCTGTGTATTTGAGTTGGAAGGGATGGTGTTCAATGTTGACTGAGAAAGCTTCTTGCTATCATTTCTGTTTCTTTTCTTGCCTGATAAAAGAGAATGAGTTTAACTGAGAAAGTAAACACCTGTGGCACCGCAATGCTGCTTTCAGTTTGCTCAAAAGCTGGACAGAGCATGTGCAGTGTGCTAAGGCGTGTTTAAAGGTGGAATCTACACGAAGCTGTTTGATTGGCACTGGCAATTTGGTTCTTGTGTTAGACACTACATCTAGTATGAGGCACATGCTAGGCACTCAGCATTGCAAAGACAGATGGAAAGAGCAGATCCAGTCTATGTCTTGGGAAAAATTACCTTGTGATACTTACATCAAATCCAAGCAGTGTGTGCACAGGCTGCTCTTTCTCACTGTCTTTTCTTCTGCTGCATATTTGATTGATGCATGTCATTATCTTTTCAGTATTCCACAAATGGGTTCACAACTCAAACTGTGGGCACTGGAGTCAAAAGTGGAGGGCAAGAGACCATTGAGATGGTAAAAGGAGGACAGCAGACGTTGGACTCCCGCAGGGGGGCTGGCTATCATCACCATACTATGGATCCTTGCAGGGGAGGACATGTGGAGGTGGACAACTACAGATACACTTACTCTGAGTGGCACAATTTCACTCAGCCCCGACTTGGTGAGGTAAGTGTCTGAGTGGTTGCCCAAACTATGTTGATGTAATTTAAATTTTACAAACGGTTGCAACTTAGAGTTTATACAGACTCCTCTTTTAGTTAATGATGAATCTATTTATTGAAAACTTACTATTTTCAATTAATTTGGGTTTAATTATGTTCTGATTTATGTGGTCTTGCATTTTTTTAATTGGGCTTTTATTACTTTTTAAGAAAATAATTTTGTGCTATGATTTTGCATCTGAAAAATATTGGTTTTAGCAACCCAATTTCTAGCACAAGGCAGTATCAACAAGTTTGATCACTTTGCCTGTTTGGAAAGAATGGAGCTCACATTAATTTGGGTTCGGTTTATCTGGGTGTGTTTTCCTTTTACTATTATTTGAAAGACAGAAGCAATGGCCTCATAAAGCGAACACTTGGGTACTCACTGACACACAGGACTTTTAGAAGCATGCTAATACTGACTTTACAGTGTGATTTTATGATACAGACCAATCATGTGCATTTTCTACACATAGGAAACCATTAGAGGACACACTCTGATTAAAAATTAAACAATGAAAGGTAAATCAAAGCAATTCTTTTTCTGTTAGTACGTTTTGGTGCTTAAAATAATAAAAATAAAATATGTTGTGCCTTCTCCCCACCAGAAGGTGCAGTTTTGCCATGAGGATGACAACCAGAAGCTTGCTCAAGACTACGTCCTCACATACAACTATGAGGGAAAAGGCTCAGCCGCTGGCTCTGTGGGTTGCTGTAGTGACCTACAGGAAGAAGATGGGCTTGAGTTTTTGGATCACCTCGAGCCCAAATTTAGGACATTAGCAGAAGTGTGTGCAAAGAGGTGAACCACTTCTAATAGGGTAATGAAAACTAATGGATTCACCGCCTTACCCTGCCTGCTTTAACTGTAAACCAGGACTTTTCAAAAACAGAAGATGTTATATTTGGAGTTCCCTCCCCCATCTCGGTCTGCAGAATCTCCATGCAAATGCACATTTACAGAGAAACTTTGTATATTAGTACTTGAAAACCACTGTGCACAGGTTTCAATTACTTCTCTTTATCCAGATGTCATCTCAGATGGAAACTTAAGGAAATTTGCATTACTGTTTACATTGGGGATAATGACAGCAGCCAACTTATAGTACAATAAAGTTGAATGGATTTGAGTCTATTTATGGACATTGACTATAACCCAATAGGAGACTGTAGACACCATTATCTCCAGTTAATGGATTAACTGATTGTTCATATGGTGCTTGGAAACAGTTGTTTTCCTAAACATTTTAAACTGTATATACTGTGCCTTACTTTTGTTATGTTCTTGTAACATGGCCTGGCTTCATAGTACAAAGGTAGATTGCCACACAGCCATTGAGTGTGTTTGAAGTTCTAATCCAGTGGCTTTTAGCTTCTATTCTATGTAATCTGCACTGAATCTCAGTCTCTTTTGTACTGATTTTGTCCGTTAAATTTAGATTTCAAAGTTTCTTTATAATGCATTCTATTTTTCCTCCTAAAAGTTTTTGGCTGTGAATACCAAATCCCATCCTCTCTTCATTTTTAATTTTGTTTTGTTTTGTTTTCTCTCCTCTTTGACTTTGAAAGGTCTACTTGGGTTGAAGAATCCAAGATATTTCTAAAAGTTGTCTCTTCTCATAAAATAGTTGGTGTATGTGCATATGCGTTGTTGGTTTTCTTAAGCTCATCGAATACCAACATTATTGTTTTGGATTTTTTGGTAATTGCCTCATTTCTGTCCTTAGTGAAGAACTTATAATTTTCCAATTAAACTATAGGACTCTTTCATGATCTTTTAGAAGCAACGTTCTGTATAACAGAATAATAGTGTGGTTAGAAGTAGGTTGTGGCACTCTAATGTGGAATAGCATAGTTACAATTTCCATCCTTAATTCAAGAACACTGGAAGTGGGAAGTAGTGATAGAGTTTAAACTAAGCTTCTCAGCATAATATACTCAAATAATATCTAGGATAATGACTTCACTAACTTTTAGATGATATAAGTAGTCAAAATTATATTGTTGTAAAATTATTTTTGAAACAGTTTGTAATTATAATTATCTTATGAAATACAGAAATGGGCCAAACAATTTAAATTTGTTTAAGAATTTGCACACAAGTAAACTTCATAGCCAGCCAAGTTCTAGATCACAGGTCACACTCCATTCAGTCAGTGAGCTCAGCACTAGGTGGATGGATATTCTAGGATAGATATTCTAGGTGCAGTTCTATGTGTGTGATTCTTCACTGTGTGTCTGTCTTGAATTCACCAAGTTGGCTTATTACAATTGTTTCTAGAACAAATATTGAGAAAAAATTTGAACACTAGCTGTGTATGCAGTGGGGTCATTATTGTTCAGTCAAAAATATTTCTCCGAGTTATTTTTAATAAATTATGTACAAAATGATCGTGTGCTGGTGGTGATGATACTGTGAACTGAGGCACTTTAAGCGACTGGTGTGGGCTGGTTACTGGGGTCTGATGTGTGTGAGAGTGGTTTTAATGGAGAGAACCAGCTTCCTTTTCCCAGCTTCTGTTCCTGGGATTGTGGATTATCGGGACCCACAGACATACATGCGGCATTATTATCAATACACTGGGGATTATCCCTGTGTTGTGGGCATTGGCGATTTTGCATATTCTCTATTTTATCATCTTAAGATAGAAGATACTTTTAGAATTCTTACTCTATATGTTTAAAAGACACTTGAATATAAACAAATGTGTGCAGTTGTGTCTTAGTTAGGGTTACTCTTGCTATGATGAAGCACCATGATCAAAAGTAACTTGGGAACAAAGCAGTTTATCTGGCTTCCATAGATGAGTTTTTGAGAGGCAGGGTTAAGATTGAAAGTCATACGAAATGTTCTACCTAAAGGTACCCTTAATAATAATAAATGATTTTAAATATATCATATATACAGCCTGTTTAATGCCAATAATAACCAATAAGAAAAGGGTACAATGAAGACTATTTTGAGTTGCCTTTCGCCATTTGAGGCTGTGTCCCTTCCTAATGATCAGCTGAAGGCTGAATCTAATATGTGCAGATGCTCACACATTTCTCAGAGGTTGCAGAAACATCTGGATAGGATTGCCAGAATTTGTTGTGTTATGGAGAAACCAGGTTAAAGCAGATGGGGACTAGAACATCCCTTTTTATATTGATGACTATTGTGAAGCCCTCTGAATTTCATCTGTACCTAGAAATCCCTCCCTCAGCTTTTCTCTTACCGGTGTCCTGCCAGGCATTAGCAGTGGATTGCTGCAAGGTAGTTCCTTTTAGTTAACCCGACAATCCACAACCCACAGACTCCAGAGTATATTCCCTGATGCACATCCCATTGCGATGCTACCCTTACTATGTGCTGGCTTTGAGGTGCCATGTAAATCCTCTAGGCCTAGTTCCCTACCTTGGATCAGGGGCGAGAAGATTGGTCCATAGGCCTGCTGTTAGTGCTGAGTTAATTCACAAAGATGTTTTGCAGAATTTGCAGTCTCCATTCTGCTGTTGTCTGCCCCTGCCCTGCCCTTCTATCCCAGAAGCCTGATCAGCATTTTACCTTCATGGACTTTGGAACTTTGTGGTTCACAATAGTTTCTACATCTCATTCTTACAGTTGCATAGGTTCTGTTGTACTCATCCACAGTCCAGAAATCAGAGTGATAAGTTTCGACACGACTATAAGGATGGGAAGCTCCTAGTCAGCCGTCATTGGTTCAGGATGCAGAAAGTAGGCATTTTCTCAGTGCAGTGGATGTGATGGCATCTACACTAGGACAAAACAAAGGGCCTCTGTCGCAAGTTCAATTAGTTCTCTTTTTCTTTTAAGACAGGATATTATTATATAACCCAGGCTAGCCTCAAATTCATGATCCTTCTGTTTCAACCTTCTAGGAGGTTTAGTGAAGTTTTATTTAGGGGTTGTCTGTAACCATTTTCTATTCCTATGGTTTTCCTGTTTAAATTTCTCATTTTTTGACTTTTTAAAATTTTTGTGATTTAGCCAGGCAGTGGTGGCGCACACCTTTAATCCTAGCACTTGGGAGGCAGAGGCAGGAGGATCTCTGAGTTTGAGGCCAGCCTGGTCTACAGAGTGAGTTCCAGGACAGCCATGGCTACACAGAAAAGCCCTGTCTCAAAAAAAAAAAACCGAAAAAAAAGGGATTTATAATATAATTAAATTATTTTCCCTTTCCTTTTTTTCACTGAACTCTCCCATGTAACCTTCCTTGCTCTTTTTCAAAGTCATGGTCTTTATTGATAGTTGTTAGATGCATACTGTTAGCATTCTGTCTAAACTCCACCCCAACAGTTACCTGGCTACAGCTAGGTATGCTCTTCCCCACAGTTACCTGGCAACAGCCAGGTAGGCCTGGTCCACTATAAAAGAGGCTACTTGCCTCCTCCTCTCTCTTTTGATCTCTTGCTCTCTTGATCCTTCTGTCCCTTTACTCCTTCCCCTTCTCTTCCCTGTCTCTCCAAGTGCTCATGGCTGGCCTTCTCGTCTCCTTCTCTTCTCTTCTCTTCTCTTCTCTTCTCTTCTCTTCTCTTCTCTTCTCTTCTCTTCTCTTCTCTTCTCTTCTCTTCTCTTCTCTTCTCTTCTCTTCCCTTCCCT